CCTTGACTTCGACCCGTTCCTACAATCAGATGAATTTCGTCAATAAAAAGAATAGCATTATTCTCCGGTCGTGCCATGAAATTCAAAATAATTTTTAATCTTTCCTCCAACTCCCCTCGAAACTTAGTTCCAGCCACTAAAGAAATCATATCTAGTTGATAAATCACCTTACCTCTTAAATAATCAGGAACTTGATCTTGTTTAATTCTTTGAACTAACCCTTCAACTATGGCTGTTTTTCCCACCCCCGGATAACCAATTAGCAAAGGATTATTTTTCATCATTCGTGATAAGATATAAATTAACTGTTTAATTTCTTCTTCTCTTCCAATTATTTTTAATTCATTAATCTTAGCTTTTTCATTAAGATTTTCAGTAAATATTTCAATAACTTCCTTTTCTTTTTCTCGATTCATTTGAGTGTTATGATATATTTTTAGAATTCAGATAAAAAACAAAAAAATGAAGTATTCTTTGACGATTTCATTTTTTTGTTTTTTATCTGTTTATGTTCGGTGAAAACTAGTTAGTTAAATACTAACAAAAAACAAACACAAAACCACCGAACCCAATTATGAAACACTTTTCTTTTTTTGAGAGAAAATAAAATTAAAAACTCCATATTGATGATGATTTATTTATTATTTAAAATGGGGCGAATAGTGAGAATTGAACTCACGAATGCTAGTTTCACAAACTAGTGCGTTAAACCATTTCGCCATATCCGCCGAAATAAATTGGAGCGAGTAACGGGAGTCGAACCCGCATCCTCAGACTGGCAGTCTAATATTCTAGCCGTTGAACTATACTCGCGCTTTAGTACTAATAAATATTTTTTAATCTAAATCCTTTTTTAGGAAGTTTTTTTTGATAAAGCGAAAAAAAAGTGAAACCGATTAAAACCGACAAAGGAACTAAAAGGAGCAGAATATACGGATATTGCAAAACAATCTCATATGAAAAATTAATATCTAAAGAGAGACAAAGCGCAAACAGAAAACAAATAAGATACACCAAGAAAGAACCGCCCTCTTGCTGATAGAAAAGGAAAGGGACAGCTAACAAAAAGTTAATCAAACCAGCAAATAGACCGTTAAACAACAAAAATAAGAAGGCAGTAGTTATTGCAATTTGATTACTAATCAACAAATAAATTGTTAAAGGCAAAACAAGTAATAAAAAATTAATTGCCATAAAGTAAGTAAAAATTGCAAAAAATTTAGTTCATATAACTGTCTCGCGATCAACATTTGGAGTAAAAACAAGAACCTTAATATCTTCTTCTCGACTAATTTTCGGTATTTTAAAAAATTGCTTCTCTTTTAACTCCTTTCAACCCAAACCTCGCCCAACTAGTCAAGAAATAAGGGAATGAACCATGATCATTGAAAGAAAGATTTGTAGTAACGAAAAAAAACCAAAAAAAAACAATTTTTCCTTTCAACCTCCTTTTAATAATTCTGTAAGTGATGTTATATCACCCAAACTACCGAATTTAATCATTATCAACCCAAGAAGCAAAAAATAGAAAAAATAAGCTAAGCTTATTCAAATCTTTGTCAGCAACTTGTTACAATAATAACGATATAATTTGGAAAATACCGATTTTTTATTTAATTTTAGCATATTATATTTTTTTGAAATTAATTTTTATCCTAAATCCTCTTCTTGGTATTTAAAATAATAAAGGGTGAGGAAAAAAATTCCACAAAGTAGGGAAATAATCGGAAATCAAACAGGGTGGAAAAATGTGCTTTCGACAGTTTTTATTCAACTAACTGAAGTGAAAGTTTTTATTGCACCTCAAATTATTGGAAAGGAAACCAGCAAAGTCGAGACAATTCATCTTGTTGATTCACTTATCGAACCAAAGAACAAATAAGTAGCAAAAATTAAGCCAAAAAAGAGTAAAGGAACAATAATTATTGACCACAAACTCAGTAGAGAAAATCAAAAAAGGCTTTTGTTAGAAGCCAATCATCAATAATAAACACTGAACGGAATTAAAAATAAGAAGATATTAATTAAAAAGTAAAAGGTTAAAAAGGCTAAAATTTTTCCTCATAATAAATCGCTTCTTTTTACGCCAGGAGTCAAAGTTAAAACCGTCATTTCTTCCCCCTCTTTTTGCTGAGGGAAAAATAACTTGTCAAAAACTATAAAAATGAATCAATATAATACAATAAAACTACTTAAATTTCATCAGGAAATGTCGTTGAGTAATTTTCAAAAACTTTTCTCCTTCATATTATTATAGCCTTCTGTTTGAGAAAAAAAGAAAGCATTGTCAGCAGTAAAAGGAAAAGAAAGTCCAACCAAATTAGCAGAATCAGACGTCTTAAGAGCTCATCTAAAAAATTTTTCATCCCAACTACCTTCAGTAATGCGCTTTTTTTTTAACTCCTCCTTAAATTTTGTTTCATCTTCTAATAGTTCACGATTTTTCTTCCGAATCTCGTCAAGTCCTCAATTTCCAAATCCATATCTACCTAATTGAGAAATAGTTGTTTGTTCATTTATTTCTTCCCTAATTTCTTCGTTTGTGCTTCTTGAAACAAACGCTTTCTTGGCTGTTTCCTTCGTAACTCATGGTATCACAAACCATCAAACCGCTCCAACTAAAATGGCGAAAATAATAATCCTCAGTCAATTTTTTTGTCAGATTTTTTCTAAATAATATCGATATAATTTTCCAATTTGTGACATATTTTAATATTTATAATTCAAATAATTTTTTTCCTTTCTCTACGAAATAATCATCATAAGTCTTTTCAATATCTGCTGTTTTTTCACCAGTATAAACAATTTTCCCTCCCTTTATCATAGTAATATCATCAGCTAACTTTTGCAAGTCAGAAAGAATGTGAGTTGACATTAAAATTGTTCCACCTTGTTCTTTAATATTTTTTAAACTGTTAAATAAATCTTGACGAAAACTTGGGTCTAAGCCATTAAAAGGTTCATCCAATAGGAATATTTTTGGTCGATAAAGACTCAAAGTAAAAAGTTGAAGAATTTTTTTTCAACCAGTCGAAAGAGAAAGACAGTTTTGGAAACGAAATTGGGACAAAGGTGATTTATTTAATTTTTTAAGCACCTCGTCTTTCGGAATATCTCGTAAGTAACCACAGTCCAAAACATAATTTTCCACCGTTAAATTTGGTAATTTTGGTTCGGCCGGAATAAAACCTAATGATTGATTAAAATTAGGCTCATTTTTAACTGATTTTCCAGCAACATAAGCTTCTCCGCTATTAGGAAGAACCAAGCGGGTCAAAATACTTAAAGTAGTAGTCTTACCAGCTCCATTAGGCCCAATAAACCCATGAATGGTTCCTTTTTGCACGGAAAAGGAAATGTTATCAAGAACCTTTTTAGAACCATAAATTTTGTTCACTTTTTTGACTTCGATTACTTTTTCCACCATATTTATTTTAATTTAACATGATTTTATAAATTTCTGATTCTAATTTGTTTATAATTTTTTCGATTACTCAACCCTAATTCACATCCATTCAATAAATTAAAAATTAGGCAATTACATACGACTTTACACTAAATCGATATGTAAACTACTGATATTATTTATTTTAAAGATTTAATTATTTAACATTCTTTTTATCTTTAGAATTCTTTCTTTCCTCTCTTTCTTTTTTCAACCTTGCTTTTAAGTCTTTCAGTTTTAAGGGTGGAGTTTGTAAAGCAGATTTCAACATAGCATCAAACTTAGATTCTTCAGTTTGGCATTCATGAGTTTTGGTTTTGCAACTGAAACAATAATGCTTGCCACATTTATGTTTATTAAGAAAGAATTCATCAACATAATAGCCACAACCATCGCAGATTATTTTATTATTCATAGTTAGTTAAAGTGTTTAAGCGATTAATTGTTGATAAGTTAATCTTTTACCTACTGCCGATAAAAGCATTAGGTCAAACCTTTCTTCGCTAGAATGTTTTCTAGCATTAAACCTAAAGGTGAATTCATCAACATACTTAGGTAAGTGTTTTTTACTTATTCAGTGATAAGTGCCATAAATGGTTCTTTTTAAATGCGACCAAGAATTTTCTATGCGATTAGTAGTGGCTTCACCATTCACATATTGCCTTATTCTATGATTTACAATTCCATGGTTATATCATTTTCTTAAATCTTGATAAGCAAATCATTCATCAGTATAAACATTAGAACCTTTAGTAACATGTTCTTTGATTATCGGCTCAATTGTTTTTCGTTTAGTATCCCTAACTACTTGACAGATTAAATTGCCATTTCTTTCTATCATACCCAAGACAGGAGTTTTATCTGCTCAACTACGACCTTGACATTGAGGAACTTTTTTATTTTTGTGCCTGTTTCCATTTTTGCCACCGATGAAAGTCTCATCAATTTCGACAAAATCTTTTAACATTTCTTTAAAGAGAGAACAGTCGGAGGTCTTGCGTAATCTATGTAGAATAAACCAAGCTGTTTTCTGAGTAATACCAAGTTCTTCAACCAATTCAAGAGAAGAAATTCCCTTTTTGCGGTCATAAACATAAAGGGCATAAAATCAACTTTGTAATGGTAATTTAGTGTTCTCAAAGACAGTTCTAGTTTTAATATTGAAATACTTGTTAGTTGCTTTACACTTATATCTATTACCTTTACATTTGTAGACTTTAGAATTAGGATTAAAAGGAGAGATAGGGTTGTTATTCCAAATAACTTTCTCTAAATAATCGATGCAATGTTGTTCAGTAGGAAACCTCCTTAGCAAGAAGTCAAATATCTGTTTGAATCGTAATGTCATGTTACTTTTTGCAAACTATCCTGTTTTTTTTGCTTAACTGATTGATTTGTTTTCGAAAGTCATGTTTTACTCATTTGCCAGCAAACCAATAAGTCATTCCTAACACGATTGGGAAGATAATAATTAAACTAATTATTAAAGGTTGATAACTCTTTGGAGAAGAATTAATAGTTTGAGTTAATAATCTCTGTTCTAACTTATTAACTCGTTCAAAAACTTCTTTAATTTGGTCAGGATTGTTGCTAGTTATGATAGTTTGAACTTGGTTTTTGATGGTAGCAATAATCCTTTCAACTTTCTCTCAATTGCCATGCTTAGCAGCTTGCTCGGCTTCGATGATTAGTTCAAATAGACTTTTAAAAAACTCATCGAGTAATTTCTTAGTTCTTTCATCCTGTTCTTTTTTCTTTTCTGCTTGGGTGAAGGGATTATCCTTTTCTTGGTATTCCTTAGCATCAACGGGAGTTTCTCTACTTCCATCATCACTTTTGTAATCGTAAACTAGTTTCAACTTAGGGCAGTTTTCAATAATTAACTTCTTTACTTTGTTATGACTAAGTATTAATTGTTCAAGATTAGGTAAGTTTCTGATGACGACTTCTTCTAAATAGTTGCCTCCTAAATTAATGGATTCTAATGATTTCGGATATTTCTTATCACCATCAATCTCGATATCTTTGATGTAGTCTCGGTTAGAAAGGTCTAAGCAAACTTGACCTTGAAAGATATGTTTGCCTTGTTCGAACTTCTCTCTCTCTCTGTTGTTGATTTTCTAAAACTATTTGTTCAAAGCGAGTAGGAGAATCTTTGTGTTTTTGAGAAAACTCATTATCTTCATCAGAAAAATAGCCTTCATCTTCATCGTTATTATCAATTAATTTCAGTTCTTTGGGGTTGCCAAGAGGAGTTTGAAAAACTATTTTCTCTATGTTAGAATAAAAAACATCAAGCAGTTTGAGTTTTGGAGAGTTAAGAACAAGTTTTATTTTTTCTTTAGCTATAACTCCTATTCTTTGCCCT